CAATGGTTGTTTAGGGATAATCCAGGAAAGGATGCCTTGATCTGCTTTAAAAAGTGACAGATTACAACCTGGTTGACATGGTTTCACCTCTGCACAGCTGGAAACATGAATGCTCTGCAGAGGTGTCAACAAGTCATCATTTTGTAAGTACGAGCAAGTCAAAGGTTTTGTGCGACACATCTCAGGTAAGATTTAAGCATGTCTAAAGTCTCTCGTTTTGGGCTTCAGCTTCTCAAATCTCACTCACAAACGTACAGTATACATCTCTATTCACAGTACATATCTTTATACTTTATTATGTACTCCATCCATAGTTTACATCAGCAGGTTGTAATGGCAGTCTATTAATAAAGACAACTGAAATTTTCCAGTTTTCCCTGCAATGTAGTAAATGTAATAAGCTTTTGAAGTACAAAAAAACACCTTCAAGTTGAGTTAAAACCACAACATTTTTATTTAATATCATCATTTTTGTAAAATTGTCAAAAAAACTAATTAATCTGAATTTATTTCCTCAGTAAAAAATGCGTCTTCTGTTCTAGTAATGATTTATAACTTGTTTTGTCTTAAAAAATGAATTATGGCATGCAAGTTTTCTTATATAATGGTGACTTTATATCTCTTTTTTTCTGTAGGGAGGCATGTATGTGTTCCAGCTCTTTGATTACTATGCAGCCAGTGGCATGTGTCTTCTCTTCATGGCTATCTTCGAGACCGTCTGCATCGCATGGGTCTATGGTAAGCTGCTCCAACATGCTTTATTTCCTTATTAAAACATTGAGAGACTGGAACCGATTTTATACTTATTGACATATTGTGGAGTTTCAGCTCTGAGTTAAAAGGCGAAACACGGATAGAAATGTCTTTATTTTTGTTTTACCAGGTGCAGACCGCTTTTATGATAACATTGAAGACATGATCGGCTACCGACCAGGACCTTACATCAAGTACTGTTGGCTGTTCCTCACCCCAGCCACATGCATTGTGAGTATCAACAAACAAATGACAGCAAATGAGGCCTCTTCTCTTTTCCTCCACTTTTTTCTAACAAAAAAATCTCTGATCTCGACATTGAAGTATATTGTATATAGATTAAGTATGTATTAATATAATGGAGTAACTAAAGGTTTCTTTATTGCTGCAAGTAAGACAATTTGAGTCATATTCAGCTAAGTGGATATACTTAAAGTGGACCTATTATGCTATATTGGAAAAATATATTGTAGGGCCATACCTATACAAAATATATCACCCATTGTAGCCATGCCTCATACTGCTCATCATACCCCTCTTTTTCAGCCCTGTTCCAAACAGGCTGACCTTCTTCTCTCCCCTGCTAGAGAGAGATTTCTACCGGGAGATCTCAGCTAAACACTGCGGTGATTAAATGCCATGTTATGCTCCTAACCACTTCAAGCTTTATTTCTGAAACAGTGTGGAGCTCAAACCTTTCTCTCTCGCAGGGTTTACCACAAGGACATTACGTTACACATATTCTCTCCAGTAGCCTACAGCGTTAGCTCCATGGCTAGCTCTGAGTGTTACCATGCTTGCTTATGTAAACACACATGTTCTTTCTTAAGGGTTTACTGCTAGAACAGTGTATATGTATTATATATATAACAACTTTACTCTAAGCCTCCAGCAGACATCCTGCTGAATATACAGACACACAGCTGCGACTGTATACGGAGACGATAGGTTGGCACGTGTCACGTCGGCCGGATGTCGCCAATGACGTAATAGGAGCGACAATTCTGGATCTGCTTGTTAGCACCCCCCTTTTTTTTTAGATGTGGGTATGGAGGAAAAGAGAGGAGCGTTTTGTTTTCTGACACTTTGTGAGTTCCCTGACACACCGGGGAAACATATTTATGTATAAAAGACATCAAAAGGTGAATTTTGCATAATAGGTCCCCTTTAAGTGATATTGAACCTTTAATTATTATGATTATTACATTTGTTAATGTTTTTTTTATGGTGTCTTAGCTGTTTTTAGCTAGTAATTGCTATTTTATTTATTTCATTTTGTTTCTCTTTTGCACCAATAGTAATGCTGGTCTGTTTGTCTCTTCAGGGTACCTTTGCCTTCTCTCTCATTAAATACACCCCTCTGAAGTACAACAACGTGTATGTGTACCCGTGGTGGGGCTATGCTATCGGCTGGCTGCTCGCTCTCGCCTCCATGGTCTGCATCCCGCTCTGGATGGTGTACAAGATCTGCACCACCCAAGGGACATTCAGAGAGGTATGTTTGGATAGAGATAGTAATGTAGGAGCTTTCATCTGATTTACATTACATTTTAACTTAGAGTCTGTCTCTACTGTGACATGTTTACATGCTTTAATGTTCAAAAAGCTCTTTATTTTTCTCATACTGCCTTTTCACCCTCCGTTTGAAACCAGAGCCCAGTCTGCTCTGATTGGTTAGCTGGCCAGCTCTGTTGTGATTGGTCACAGGTTAGAGATGTCCCGCCCCATCACGTACAATGTGTTGGAGCGCTACCCAATAGAGGCACAAGTGTTTCATAATGATGTCACTATGTTATAGAAGGGAAGGAAAGGGAAAACCCCCAAAAGCACAATAGGGCCCCTTTAAGAGAGATTTCGAATGCAGGACTCTTACTTTGAACAAGGTATTTTTACAATTTAGTATTGCAAATTTTACTCAAGTAAAATATCTAAGGTCTTTTTCCATCTTTGGACTTTCTGTCGCAAATCTCTACAAAACTGGACTATACTTAAACCCGTTTCTGATGTTATTGATAAGTGAAAAAAGGTCAAGACTGGAGCCTGTTTACAATGTTTTATCTCTCTGCAGCGCATCAAGTTACTCATCACACCATCTGACGACTTACCCAAAACCAAGAGGGAGCAGGAGAACTTATTGGCCATCTTTGCCCCTGAGGGAGAATCCACAACAACCCGAAACGGCTACTGCCCGGTCTCAGAGATGGACTCCAACTTATGAGCCCCCCCACAGTGATGATATGTGTCAGACCTCATGTACTTTAATGCAAAACAGATATGGAGGACTCAGGACATAATAGGCCGACAGTGTGTCAGGGATGGCAGTTAAGGTACAAAATACAAATCATTGGATCACTTAGACATTTAAGATGGGACAAGGGCATTTTTTCAGGGACAGAATATATTTACTCTACATTAATAAATCACCATACATTGTTCCGCTCTGCTATTCACAGATAGATAAATAAATAAACGGATTAAAGGGCAGCCTTATTGAAAATGTAACACTGTTATTATAAAGGCATTTGAATCAATAAGAGGTGGTAAATCAACACAACGACACACAGGTTCAACGAACAGTTTAAAATGTTTTTTGACATCTGTAATGAAACCGGTTAAGCATTTATTGCCTGTTACCTTTTGATGTCCTTGTGTATCTGACATAACTTCATGGCTACTTTGCCATATTTGTATCATATGTTGTATTATCATATAAAATGAAGTGTTGGGTTTCACATGAAGAGACTGTGTAATGAAATAATTTAATGTTAGTGAAAATTAGCGCTGCATATCTGTAGGACTAACATGACATATACAAAGTAGTTTCATATTTTGTACTGTAACATAATATGACTGTACAAAGAAATGTGAATCTTGTAAGGATGTTTTTAAATAAACATGCAAAATTATTGTCTGTACTCATTTTATGGATGTCTGACTAAAATATTAAATGTAGGCAGGGAAGGTCCCATGAAAAGAGGTGTTAAACGATTAAGCATATTCATAATTTTAGGGAATAAAAGTCTGGATATCTGAGCCTCTGCTGTTTACATTTCTACCATTGTTTTTTAAATGTATCTTTCCTCAACTTTATGAAAGTGCAGTAGTAAATGGCTGGAGTCTCTTTAACCTACTGATAATGGCATTGTGTGTCCATAATGATGTGTTCTCAACACATTCATAGTGGTAGTGATGGAGCACAGCAGGTGTTGACCTTGCTTGGTGAGCATAATGTGCCTACGTACTATTCTGTCTTTCCCGTAGGAAACAAAATGCAGAAAATATGCATTTTACTGATTCACATAGGAACAAATATAACATGTCTGATCAGGAATAGCATGTTAGATAATTGAACCGTTTAAAAAGAAACAAAAGGAAACCCTTATTCCGAGAATTTATTTATTTTAATGAGATAAGACTGTCTTATCTCAAAATAGAAAGTAAAACAGAACTACAAATTAAAATATGCCCAAATTGACCGTGATAGATACACATCTGTAACGTCTGACAAATAAACACTATGAAGGGCCAAATCACAGCTAACACAATTTAAAAGTAGGATATTATTTACATTAAGTGCGCAAGGAAATAGATAGATCATAAACGGATATACTTTATTGATCCTAAATTGGGAAATTATTTTGTTACAGCAGCAGTGTGTTCAGGCTTTACAATATTTAAAAGTCGGAATAAAGTATAAACATAATAAAAATAAATACAATTCAAAAATAAACAGCAAATATAAACATATCCACAGTTGTGACTAATATCACAAATATACAAATTATAACATTTCTAGATTAATTTAAATGTTCTATGAATATGTATATATATCTTTAGCAACAGAAATATAGATTGATATTAAATCTCTAATAAATAATAAATCGCTCTAATAAAACATTTAATGCATTATTATTATTATTATTATTATTATTATTATTATTATTATTATTATTATTATTATTATTATTATTATTATTATATACTACAGGAAAAGAGACATGCTGTATACAAAGGATAATGTATAAATTAGCCTAAATATCAAATGATAAAATGGGTAAAGATGTGTTGTGTGTACTGTAGAGCTTCTTAGACATCAATAATCCGCAATGATGGAGCAGTTTTGAAGCATTTTTCTAGAATAATGTAACCACTGGGTGTCATGCTTCTGCTGTACTGTCAGCCGGCAGATGATTGGCTGAGACGGCCGCGTCACTCACAACGTGCCTCGGTGACGCCCCGCTCTTTCCCATCATGCAGCGGGTGATGTCTGAGGAAAGATGGCGGAAGGAGGAGCGGCTGATCTGGATACCCAGAGAGGAGAGGTCGCGGCACTGTTGAAAACACAGCTAAAAAAGGGAGACACTTGGTAAGACTTGAGCTGAAACCTTTTCAAGGATACCGCGTTGTCTTCGGCTGGCTCTGCCGATGTTGACAACGTCAAAAAGGATAAAAAATGGGCCGTGTTGACAGTTAGCTTCAAACTAGCTAACGGGATCCTTTCATTTTCATGTGTGTCAGCTAGCTTCAGCTAACACTAGCTAATAGACTGTCAATGGAGAACGATGGATATCTTTACACTTGAACTTATTCATTTTGGTGGTTATATTCGCTACTTTTCTAATGTCAATGTCGCTATTCACACGGGGACACCAGCTCAATGTGGCTGCATTTCATTTAAGTTATTTAGTTAGCAGGCTAATGGCTAATTGGCTAGCCGACCTAAGCACTAAGTGGTTCGCCTGCCACCGGGTTCATCCGAATACTTCAGCTGCAGGGCGGAGTCGGAAACGAAGCACCTGTCAAAATCACAGAGCCAGCTGGCGAGACATGCAGCAAGCTGAAGTCACTAAGTTACTGTTACACCTATCAATCTGTTAGCCTCTCACAGTCAGATTTGCTGCTGAGAGCACTGACAGCAAGGAAGCCTTTACCTGCTGAAGCTGATCTATTATCATCACTGTAGATAAGAAACTCAAAGTCCTAGTTTAGCTTCTTTTATGACTATTAAATAAACGATACTGAATAGAGTGTCCCATCTTGCTTCATCAGAATTGAAATGATAATATCGCTTTCCTTCTCTTCAGGTACCTGGTGGACAGTCACTGGTTCAAACAGTGGAAGAAATATGTGGGATTTGACAGTTGGGACAAATACCAGCTGGGTGACCAGAATGTCTACCCAGGACCAGTTGATAACTCCGGTCTTCTTAGAGGTAAGATATACTGCTTTACCTTCCTAGACTTTCGTTTTCAATAAGGGATATATTGTAAACACTGTGTGGCACACTATAGAGCCCTGGTCAGTATAGCTTTATTATTCTGGAAGTAGTAACAAAGAATTCAGAGGAAAAGGGGAAACAACACCATTGTTATCAGACTCTATAGAGGAGCCTATTTTCAGGAAAGCTCTCCAGCGTACCTTTGTGTCGTGGGAGACAGTCAGTGCAGGGTCACTGTTGTGAGTGAATGAGTGGAATCCCCTTTCTCTGTCTACCTGCTTGTTTCTCAACTTTTCTCCCTTCCCCTCCTTACCTCTAGATGGGGATGTGCTGGCCATCAAGGAGCACCTCATCGACGAGCTCGACTACATCCTGGTCCCCACAGAGGGCTGGAATAAGCTTGTCAGCTGGTATGGACTGACAGATAATCAGGAGCCAATTGCACGCAAGGTAAGGCTTTGGTATTTATGAATGGATTTTGTGGTTAAGTAATTTTCTTCTCACTGTGTTTAGAATACATCCAAATGGGCCATATAGCACTAGCTATGGTGGATTTTTGAGTTGTGGTTTAACGGTTGTGTTTCGTAGTATTGCCTGTGTTGGGTTGAAGTAGAAAAACATCTATTATTATGGCCATTTGAGATCAGGATATGAAGAGTCTAGCATAATTGTAATGGTTTGTATTGACAGGGCTCTCCTGCTGCTCATTATTCATTTTCAACAAAAATAATGTCCAAAGGCAGTCTGGAACATTTCTTTGGGAATACTTTACCGTAGGCTTTTGTGTAACCATAAGAACTGCTCTAGTAGTTATTTATTGGTAATACGAATATGCTAAAGGAATGGACATTAACCTTTTCATGAAAATGAAGAAACAAGGATGTTGTTTTCCATACATTTTCTTTTTTTCTGTCATGAACTATTTATTTAAGTACTTTCCATTTTGAAACACACGCTGAATGGTCACAGTTTATTAGTACTCCATGATGGCAGCTACAACTTGACAGCACCTACGGTATTAATTCCCCGCTTCAAATCTCACTAGTCATCATGGCATCATGGCTGCTAGAAGAGATTCCTCTCCCCCCCTTCATCTCTACCGTTCTCTCTCTCTCTCGTTCTTTCTCCCCCCCTTACATTGACCCTCCCATTTTCCCATGTATGTCTTGGGACGTATCGGGTAGCTGCCGGGTTTCTATTTTCAGGCAACAAGCTGGATGACTGAAAAGCTACATGGAGCGATCCGCGAGACACAACATGCAGGAGGTTCATTATCAGTTTTCCTCTTCTTTTCCACTCTTTGTCTCTTTTTCTGGGGGTGTCATCGTGAGAAGCGCGGAAACACAAGCGTTTAAAGAGGATTTTTAGGAGGATTGTAGTCACAGGTTCTGCGCGTTTCCTTCCGTTGTCGTACTCCGGTGTGATATGCCAACACCGGCGAAGTGTTCCTGCGTGTCCTTGTTTTTTGAAGTGGAGGAATGCTGGTTGAGGTCACTCTGAGAAGAGCAGCATGAGAGCTTCTGAGAGGAGGCAATACCACACTGGGAGTAATGGAGTGGGTGGGGTGAATGGGTTTTGGCTCAGCTCTGATTTGTGAGAAATTCTGCCGTGACTTGGGTTTTTGCGTCGGGTTTACTAACACATGGGTGTTGCGCTAAGGGGTAGGATGGGCCCACTGGGGGGATGGATGGGA